AATTGAAAAAGTGCCCGGAGCAAATAGTGTTATTCCTGATTAAAAATCGAGTCGAAAAGTCCTAAGCTATATTTTTTTCTATAATGCTTAATAAAGCGATAATTATTGAGTAAAGTTGCGCCAATAAGCACCGACCTTTAAACGGGCGCACGTCAGTGACGTCCGTTTAAAGGTCGACTACCAGGCGCCGCGCGCCTGGTAGTGTGCGTGAGCTCTCCGCCGTTTCAGCGCTATGTTATACCGCTATTCTGCAATATTCTTATGCGTATAATAATATAAAAAACTTTAATTTGCATTAAAAATCATATTTCTTCCGTTAAAAGCGTTTCCTTAAAAAAATTTTGACAAGGAGGCTAAAGGTCGATGCTTATTGGTGCAACTTTACTCCGTGGGCTTTTTCAGTTACACCCTGTATATGTGTAGATTTAAATATTTTAGAACCGCAACATTATTGTAAAAACCCAGTCAGAATTAAAATTTTAAGGCTAGGTTTCCTCCATCCATCTTGACTGATGATTCCGGCACTATTGTACACCCACGAAATTTATTAATATACACACATGCACATACTCTCTCACATGCACACTTTAAGTATATCATGAAGTTATTTCAAGTCTTGTAAATTCCTATGAATGTATTGACGTCTCATTAAGTACTTTTAAATAAAATATCAATTTTATGATTAAATTACTATTTTTGAATAAAATATCAATTTTATGATTAAATTACTACTCTCTAACCCTCTCTCTTCCCTGAATCCCAAGATCGCACAAGATCCCGTCCCGAGTACAACCGATTAAGTTTCTTTACCAAAAAAGGATCGCCAAGTGGATAGGCCTTCACAGAATTGAAGAGACCATTTCCCTAATAAGTGTATCACGGAGTAAGTAGATTGCATTCTTCCAGATGGGATTCCATTTATTAAAGGGCCTAGATGTAACAATATAATAAAAATTAAAGAATTAGATTTACAATATTTTTTTAGAACATAATATTAATAAAACAAGCTTAAAAGATAGAATTAATAATTAAAAATATCTTAATATTTATATAATATTTATACTTTTTATTTGTATAATACTTTTCTATTTTATTGAACATTTGATTGAAACGAGCATTGTCAGCTAATCTTTAGTTTAAACATTATATTTATATATTTATTTGGGATAATTAAAAAAATCGTTATTCGTGAATGTACGAATACATACGAATAATAGAAAAGTGTTTATTGAGCATAGACTTATATATATACATTATGATGATAATAATAATTACTAATAACAAAGTGTATATGATAATAATTAATGATACAGACTTCTGTAATGGATAAAAAGTTACGTAAGTGTTATTTTACGAACTTCTTTGATTTGTATTGGTTTGACTAGTATATTAAAAGCATATATAGATGTTAATTGTCATGTTAATTATCATAAAAAAATTAAAGCATATCTACGCCATAATCACGTTATATAAGGTATGTAGTGTATTAAAAATGTGTTAAATAAATAAATTAAATACAAAAAAATGTACATTTATAAGTTGCTAATTATTACTATATGTATATAACGAGTGCTCTAATTATATAAAAAACGGTTAAAAAAATGCAAGGCTGATCTGTACGAACTCTCTGTAGCAAAATATTTTTAACATTATTTTTGTAAATAAAAAAATCGTCAATATTTTTAGTAAATTTAAAAAATCCTCGATATTTCTTACAAATATAAAAACTATCACTATTTATTTATATTTTCTAATTTTGTATAGCCAATTATTATTATTGTTATTATCATTATTATTATTATTATTATTATTATTATTATAAATATTATTACGATTCTTTATTTCGTAATTTTGTTGAGACACATATGGTATAAGCTACATATTTATACACACAGCCTTGTAGATCCAAATCAGCCTAGCAAATTTTTTTGCAGAAAAAAGCAAGGAATCACATGTCAAAAATATTAATAAAAATATGTATACAACTTGTAGTAATAAATACATGAAATTTCCTTAATAATATAGATTGCTTATTTTGTTAGATTTCACGACTCTTGTAGAAAGTACTTAAAATAGAAACCCTAAAAGCTACTTTTCTTCGTTCTTTCTTTCTTTGCATCTTCGTGCACATGCGAAGAAATTTTCCTATTGATTTTTTTGTCACTCAATGTTATTTAGAAAACGTATAGCGCGATTTATGTGTTTTTCAAATATATATATATATATATATATATATATATATATACATATATATATGAAAGATACACACACACACATACATATGTATGTGTATATATATAAAATATAACATTTGTAGAAGTTGGGTCTCAAATTCAGAGATCAGCATATTATTAATATATATCAAAAGATTGTACATATCATAATATTATATATATTTTTTCATTACATTTTCTTTTTAATTCAGAAAAGCAACTTTTTTAAAAAAGTTTTAAATTCCTCAATTTTCTTCTATATGTATGATTAGAAAAAAATAAACGAATTACATCGAATTAAGAACAAATAAAAAATATAAAATTAATAAAAAAATTTTACTTTTTTATATTATTTTTATACTGATAAAGAAATGAAAATTTCGTTGATCAAAGTTCTTCATTGCAGTTACATAAAATAGAACATAAAATAGTATAGATTACTAAGTGTATTGAAGACTTTTTATCATTTTGAAAATCGTGAATGTAAATGAAATAGTTTAGTTCAGTTTAATGTAGCAATTAGTTTAGTAAATGTAATAATAAATAATAAATAATAATGCGTAATTCAAGCTACCCGTGTGCTACATTTCTAAAAAAATAGACGTTATAATAATTAGACTGAATTTATAATTTATATTAATTTGTGAAACAAATTTTTTATATATTCTATCAATTTGTATAATCGGATGTGCATAATAAAATACGAATAAATATATATAATTCCTTATTTTTGATAGTATAATATGTTTGCAATAAAAAACCTGGAATCATAAAAATTTTAGAAATTAATCATAAAAATATTTAAAAAATTCTTTTATAAATTTAAAACAAATAAAAAAGCGAAATATAAAAATTTTTAAAGTTATATGATAGTTTCTTATAAGAAAAATAAAACTTTTATAATTTGATGTACACACAAAATCTTATATAATTTAATTATTAATTGTTGAAAATTAATCATAATAGTTTAATTTAATTAAACAAATATTAATTAATTATCAGTAAATAGTGAGTAACAATAATTTTATCATAATTAATGAGATAAAAAATTTATTTTAATTATTAATTAATAAGATAAATATATTATTGAACTTTTATTTAATTGATTTGTTAAATTATTTATTATTTTTTTCTCTGATCTCTTGATATGAGTTCCACTTCATTTGAAAGGGCTTCGCTTTGAAAAAGCAATATTCTTCTTTTTTTTATTATAAATGTTCACGAGACACTGAATACTGTGAATAAATATAATACGACTTTTTGCGATACACTGTATATATGTCGTGCGCATGACCACGATCGTATACACGCTTTAAAATTATCATTTTTTTTCACACATCCACTTATGAAAATTTTCATTTTTTTTGTCTTGTTAGAAAAGTATTACATTTGATACAATATAATTCTAATTAATTGCGTCAAATCAATTGATAAATATATATTTAATCGTAGAGAATAATTTTTTTTATATAATGCGATGATCTTATTCGAATATTATATTAACCCTCAGTATAGAAGATTACATAAATTACAATTTTAGAAAAATATTAAATAAAAAGAACATTAAAATTGTATAAAATTGTAATATTAGAAAACATATTACAGAAATATAAATTTAATTGAAAATGTTTAATATTTATTGTATCATTTTTTCGAGATTTATATAATTTCATTAAAAAAAAGCTATCACGATTAAAAACTTAGGAAACTTATTAATATAAAAAAAAATTGTATTGTTATTTAAAAATGTATTGTTATTTATTTTTTATATATAAATGTTATATCTACAAAAAAATAATTAGACACACATACACACACACATACACACATATATGTATGTATGTA